AGAGGAAGATAACGCAGCTTTTGGATTGGTTTCAAAGGTGGTAGTTATGGATAAGTTGAGCTATGTAGAAAAAAATTATGCAGGCTTTGAATGAGACTACCACATACAAGGTAGTCAGTAGGGACCCTACAGTAATCCATAAGTCTAAACTCACGGGTTGCCTTCAACATTGTGTAAGAAACGAGGAACAGGAGAAATGAAAGATGGACACTGCTCCAACGAGATGCTAGGCGTCCAAATGCACATGGTCTGCACAAAATCCATAAAGATGGAGTTCTACTTGAAATTATTGTAAATATTAAGTGTAGCGTGATGTATAAAACCACACTTATGGGGCTAAAGTAGGTGTTATGACGCGTGTAATAGTAAGGAGTCTGCTTCTGACAGAAGTTAGTCCCTTCAAATGTAATCCGCCGCAAATTCCCTTACTAACAGCCATGTAGGAAAATCATAGGATATGCAATCAAATCATAAAATGCCTCATTAAGTGGACCAAGTCGGACTGTAGGAGGTAGGCTCGTTTGCAAGTAGGTAGGTTTGCAGCCACCCACCTTTCTTCTATTCGTGTTTTGCTAAATTATCGTTAAGCATGATGTCCTGCTTTGACGATGTCCGTCCCATGACAGAAGAAAGATCAGCAAGGATTCATCTGGGTGGCAAAACGGTGCGCCGAAGATCATTTAGCACGATTCAACAGTCACAGCTCCGAGGCACTCCCGTTACAGCTTCTGGTGAGGCCCACTTGCCTCTTCTTCGAAGAATAAAAAATCGACTAGCTCATATATGCCAGAACATTTGTTGAGCTATAATGTGAGAATTTCCTGTTATAGCTTCGATTAAAATACCAAATTACAATAAAGGCAGCGAGGTCTCTATTTGATCCTAAAGTTTTTGCCAAGTATTTTTTTGAGAGTTAATATAAAATTAATATATAAAACCGAATGTGAACAAAGAAATTTATATTTTAAATCGTTGAGGATATTTCAGGCCCAAACCTACCAATTAGACTGTAAGAATGCAGTGAGCAGTTCTCAGGAGGGAGCTCACGACACCTGGAGAGCAAGAGACGAGTTAACACGGAGAAGCAAGGAGGCAGGCGATTTAGGCGAGTGACTAGACGATCCAAAAATTCTGGCGCCAGACTGGTTAGGTGGCTAAGAAACATTAGCGCCAGATGCTCTCCGGGAACCTCCATCAAATTGGGTAAGCTAGGCCAGTAATTAGTCCTTGGTTTACCGGCAGGTTCGAGAGATAGTGGTTTTTCGAACTGGAAAGGACCTGAGTTCCCGGTCGCACAAGAGGAGCTGACCATTCGAAGCTTTGCTTCCGAATTTGACTCCAAGGTCTGAATGGCAGTTTTAGGCTGTTGCAAAGTACCCTGCAGGCTATCGAGAGTTTCAAGATTACAAATCGTTTTTTTTCCACTTGACGGAGAAGTGTGTGATTCTGGCCGTCTAGGCGATAGTAGGCGAATGTCACCCACACGTAAGGCAGCGTGGGTTGAAAGAACCTTGGTCTGGTGAGTCTGAGAAGCACCAGTAGTGGTACTGGAGAGTGCTCGGACGAAGGCCACAGCCAAGGGACTAGTAGCTTCGGTTTGACAAGCATTTCGATCTGAGAAAGAATGAAAAAGATAGGGGCAGGTGATAAAATTATAGATAGAATAGCCGTTCCTCAACTCATTCGCAACACGACGGATTTGGTTAACAGTGTCCACCACATTTCAATGATACTAAGGGATAAGATGTAAGAAATTCATTTTGTACAAGCAAGAGCATCGAATATCGACATCGATCACCATCCAAAATATGCAGCTAGTTAAAAGCCTTTAAATCAACAATTTATCCAGGAAATAAGTTAATCAAAATAAAGGTATTACACTGACTTATGTTTTTTTGGTAGACAAACATTAGTTATCCGAGGTAAAAAGAAGATGAAGATAAAGTTTAAAAATAAAGTATACTCTAATTAATCGTTTGCATTATGATAGAGTAAACCACAAGTTAAACAGAATGACGTTCATATATAAGAGAATATAATTTAGAGATTAAAGGAAGTCTTTGATATGAGGACCAAGATGTAATGGCTTTAGAATTGATCGTAGTCTTCTCTGGCTGTTGGTTCGACCTTAGTTTCGCAACTTGATAGGATGAAAAGGGAGACCTTAATTTAAGTACTCATTCCTGTGCCCTCTGCCATGATAATTTCCAGCATCGCACAATTAAATTGGTTGGCGAAACATCTGGAAATGTAGCAAGTAAAAAGTCGGATGATGTAAATTATCACAACTATCATAATTGAGAGAACAGGAATGGAAATATTCCCATAACTCGCCTCTTTTCTCCTACCAAAATAGGAAAACGAGATCAAACCAAAACAAAAGCAGGTCTCTGCAACTCCTCTCGCTATTTCGCGCTATTGCCCACTATCATTAATCTATCTTGGCTATAAAATGAAATATGATAATTCGATATGTATGATAACTAAGAAAAGATAAAAAGGCTATTAGTAAAGTCGCTAATGAAATAAAAGAGTTATTTGCTTAGTAAGAGATTAAAGCTCATTAAAAGGGAAAGAAGGAACAAGGATGAATATTGATACATTATATCGCTTCCTAATTTACTTACAGAAAAAGAGTTCCCTGATCTTTTTAGCGTCTACAGCGCAACCACTTTTATTATTTGTTGGGACAATGGGAATATTTGTGGTGCCAGTAGAATCCGTAGAATTGGCAAACTTTGTAGTTGCAGATCCACGATAATAATTTCGGCTTACGTGTAGACCGAATGTATCAATGTGGCGCGCCCACAACCGAGCTGCGGCTTTTTTATTGTTCAGAGTAAACAACACAGAGCTCTGTTGCAGTGGGCTATGATCATTTTGTATATTGTTGTTGGGGCTAGGAGGATTTGTAG